TGTCCCTACTACGTCTAAAACTTCCCAAGGTCCAAAGTACTGAGGCATGAGTTTGCGGGATATCCCGAACTCCTGTCCCAGTTCTGAAGATTTGACCCAGACTCTGTCCCCTACCTGAAATGTAGAAGGGCGGCGGTGTCTATTCTCAGACTCTATCATTGCTGCCTGTGCCTTCTGCATGTGTTCTACAGCCTCCTGCATCTTCTGTTCATATCTATAGGCGAACTCTAGAGTGCCCGGTGTAGCAGTTGGCTGGTTGTCTGGAAGTAGGAAATCTAAGGGCAGTCTAGGTTTGAATGTCAGTTGTAGACTGTTAGGACTCGTCCCGGTAGCACTGCGCACAGCGTTGTTATATAGACTAGCGACTAGAGCAAGCTTTTCGTCCCAGTCTACCTGATTGGGCTTGATGTAGTGCCTCAACAGGTGTTGCACAGCGTGGTTCATTTGTTCAGCCTAGCCATTAGCTTCTGGATGATTTCCAGAAGTCATCTGCAGTTGAGTTCCTTGTTCAGCTGCAGCGGCCTTCCATAATTCACTCTTGAACCTGACGTCCCTGTCACTGACTATAGATTTCGGCAGTCCAAAGTCTCTAACCCAGTTTTCTTTAAATAGCCTGATCACGTATTCGGTCTTTGTTGTTCCTGGCATAGCTATTAATCTAGCAAACTTACTAAACCTGTCCACGATGACAAAGATCTGTCTCATCCCACTCTTGCTGGTGACCAGCGTATCCATGAAGTCCATGGATAAACTTTCACTTGGCCTTTCCGGAATCGGAAGGGGCTTGAGCAGCCCAAGAGGCGCCTGAGTACGGGGCTTGTTTCTCTGGCATACTTGATAAGTTTCCACGTACAGCTGTGCATCTTTCATCATCGTTGGCCACCAGAACCGCTGCAGCAAGTTGGCTGCGGTCTTCTTGTACCCAAAATGGCCGGTGGCATCATGACACTCGCCTAAAAACAAACTACGCAAAGACTCGCWAYTTGGAACGCACAARCRTTTATTCCCTRCCTTCTCTAGGAACAGCAATCCATTGACCAACTCAAACTCGGCGGAGGTCTTTTTATCCTTCGCCTCAAGTCTGCGTATGATCTCAGACATAAACTGGTCCTGGCGATAGGCTTCCACCACAGACTGAGTAACATCATCTGTCAGATCGAACTCAGTAATCAACGCACCTGAGAAGTCCGGTATGCGCGACCAGGCATGAGCAACCTTGTTGTACTCTCCTTTAAGATACTGAGGGTCAAAGTCATATTGCTCAATGACTTCGATCCAACGCTTGAGAGCGTCAGAAAGTACAGGCTGTGTTCTCATCCATCTCAGGGTCTGATGATCAGTCCGGAGGAGGAAGAACCGCCCAAGGAGGTAGTGTCTCCAATGGGGGAGAGCCTTGTACACCGCATAGAGCTCCTTCTCATAAGTGGACTTAGCCAACTTCTGAGACGGCATTTTCTTGGACATGTACTCTACTGGCCTCAACTTTGGCCCCTCCTGCTGCGCAAGCACGGTGCCAATGCCATATTGGCTAGCATCCGTGGTTACTATAAATGGCTTATCAGGATCGCGTAGCTTCAAGACTTCATAGTGCGTCAATGCATGCTTCAGATGTCTGAAAGCTGCCTCGCACTCATCTGTCCACTCCCAAGGGGTATCAAGGCGGGTCAGATCAGTCAAAGGAGCGACCATTATGCTGTAATTCTTAACGAAAGTCCTATAGTAGCCTGTCATTCCTAAGAAAGATCTCATCTCAGTCACAGACTGAGGACGTGGCCAATCACGAATGTTGGCCACCTTCGCGTCATCGGGCTTCAACCCTTCCGCGGAGATCTCATGACCCAAGTACAAGATACGGGTGCGGCCAAACTCGCACTTTTCACCGTTGATCTTGAACTTGTGCTGTCGCAGGAGACTGAGAACTTTGTCTAAGTGTGCTACGTGTTCCTCGA